CGTTGTGTAAAAATTCAAGATCAAACATCAGTCCAAGAAGATATTTTACATTCGTTTGTTCTTGTTGAAGTTTTTTGACACCGATCGCGCGCGCTATTTGTGATATATTAAAAGTCCTGAAGGGGGCGATTTCCTAGCGACGGCGACGTCTGGCGTCCACGTCTCACCGCACACTGGTTCGTTTTTTGGACGTACGTGGCTCAACCTGTAGGTATATCAATGAAAAGTAATATATCGCTTTATAGGGAAACAAACCAGTGCGCGACGTCGCTAGGAATATTAATTCAGACCTTTATAAGCGTTAAAATTACAATATAAAACATATAAATAGTTTTCAAAACAAGAAAACATACTTATATGGAACTGTATTTAGAACTGGAAAATGAAAAATGCAAACTTATTTTCTTATAGGCGTCTTTTTTCTTCTACATTTTAATCGCATGCTCTTCTATATAAAATAATTATGAGCGTAAAGGTATTTAAAACGATTTCTTTTAAACATTCTTTACTTTGTAATAGCGCTTTTACGGTCGCGCGTATACAAAAGAAGCATTTTACCGCGGCCAGCGGTATAAAGCCGCCTTTACAAAGTCGCACGGCCAAGCGACTTTCCTCAGATGGAAACGACGAGTTTCGAGGAATTTCGTTTACAGCAGTAGCAGGCCACTCGTACAAATGGGTCTAAAGGACGCGGCTACTAGGGACATTCAAAAAAGATCGATATATTGAAATGTCGATACAGGAGTATAAAGTTTTCTTTTATACGCATTTTCATATTTGACACTACGGAATATTCTTAATAATCTGTGAATAAAAAGATTAACGAAGGAGCATATCAAAAAACTTAGGTCTGGTTTATCAGATATACAGGGAGGCTCGAACTGTATTCCGGAAACTTCGGCAGCATATTCTGCAGATAAAAATAAGTCAAAAAGTTCGTACAAATGTATGTCCTAAAATGCTTAGTTTCGGAGATACAGGGTGTAGAAGTTTCATTTTTATTTCGATTTTTTCCAAATAATTTCTGAAGTAACGTCAATATTTGGATGAAAATCGGTGTCTGGGAGTTTTTTGGCATGAAAATTTTGATTTTGATGTCAATATGACTCCTACTTGTAGAGGGCGCCACCTACATATTTTTTTACTGGTTTGAAGAGTAATAACTTTTCGTCAGTACCTGTATAAAACTACTGAGTGAAAAAATATACATTTACGACTTTTTTTTCCCCCAAATTTATAATTCCGTCAAATAACTACCAACTCAACATGTTTATTTTGTTGTCAATAATGACATGTATTGACTATTTCCATTCTATATATCTTGAGTACTGTTGCTCGTAGCGATTTTTACCAAGAGTCATTTTATACGTAAAAAATCACGGAAATGTATATTTCTTCACTAAGTAGTTTTATACAGGTACGGACGTAAAGTTATTACCTTTCAAATCAGTTAAAACACATGTAGGTGGTGCCCCCTACAAATAGGAGTCATATTGACATCAAAGTTCAGAAATTATTTAGAACGACGTTACGTTACTTGATGGCGTTACTTCAGAAATTATTTAGAAAAAAATCGAAATAAAAATGAAATTTCTATACCCTATATCTCCGAAACTAAGCATTTTAGGACATACGTTTATACGAACTTTTTTACTTATTTTTATCTGCGGAATATGCTGCCAAAGTTTCCGGAATACAGTTCGGACCACTCTGTATAGACTTAAATACTGGTTTATCAGTGCCGATGCCGTTCTAATTTTATTCAAACGTTGTTGTATTATTTTACGTTGTCAATAAATGTTGGTCGTTATTAAAATTCCTATAAAAATATAAAATTCTAATAAAAATAGTTAAGTTATAATAATTATTTATTAAATTAACTCAAACATCCGATATGCTACTGAAGCAGGTAAGTCAAAATGACGTATCTAAATTCTTTGACGATCTTTGACAAGTAGTAAATAAAAGCAAAAATAATGCATGAAAAAATATGTAATTAGTTAATTTTAAGTGAATTTCATAAATGGTCGGTTTACTACACGTATGTATATTATATAGTCACGTACTAGTGAAAAGTTATTCCATTATTTCCCTCAATTTTTGACCGAGATCTACCGCACGCTACACAACCAACTATTTTACAGTCTTTTTCGATAAATCGCAATAGTAGCATTTAAGTTCTGCCACAAAAAAAATCTTTTTACTAAAAGATTTACTACCTCTAAACAACTACCAGTTGTAGAATAAATAATAAGTAACATAAAATAGGCTGAGCAAAGTCTGACAAATCCACAACATTTCAAATCACATTCAAATGTGTCAAATGAATCGTCAAACAGAACTGCCAGGGATACCTACCCTAGGCCCCCATCTCCGTCTACCATGCATGGTTAGCATTATACTCATTCCTTAATCTTTTTATTCCAGTAAATAATAGCAGAGATAATAGGTACATAATATGTATTTACTATACAGGGTGACCAGATTTGTTTGTCCTGGGTTTGTCAGGTATTGTGTTTTTTTTTAATACTTAGGACATGAGATCGGTATTAGAAGGGATAATCAGACACGAAATTTTACGAAGAATAGGTTTGTCGTGGGCGGCATTCATGAACTAAAGCTGGATTCAAGTGGCACAAAATAGAAAGAAATGGCTAGAGTTAAGGGATGCTTTTGTTCAGCAGTGGACGAAATAAGCTAAATGATGATGATGATATAGAGTCTAAAATATATGCAAATATTTTAATGGCTGGTAGATCTCGAAAAAGGAAATATATTTTCTCTTTGTCATTTTTCAAATAAGTCCAAAATAGCCGAATTATTGTATATTGAAAATTAAAAAAAAATGATTAATTAAATTTTGAAAAAACAACTGTTTTTTTCCTTCCATTAGATTTAATCTACTAGATATATTATTGACATGTTGTCAAGATATTTGATGTATTAAGTGAATGTGTAAATGCATTACAAAATTAGCTTATGTGGTAAAATATCGTAAATTGAAATATCGATATTTCTTCCTTGACAGGGACATTCCTAATAACTACCGTCTGCTTCTGTCGAATTTAAAACGGGTCGATGGTATGTTTTTTTTTGGTTTTCATGGGTGGGTACGCCGTTTAGCCCAAGTTTGATTGACGGGTTCTCAAGGACGGGGTTAAGGACGAGAACCAGAATTACTGAATGACTATAATTACTTGGTGCTTATATTATTTATTTTTTAATACGAAAATGTATGTAGATACAGTTTATTCAAAGCCAGTATACACCAGACAAGTACATGAGGCATTGGTAGGGTTCCCAACTTGAGCATCGGCGATTCCGGGACAATTATTTTTAAGCTTTTAAATAATTGAAACAAAACAGTAAATATTAGAAATTAAAATATATTATGTGTGTAGTGTGCCCTTTATTAGTGCCCAGGTCCCGGCCAAGGCAAAACTTTCGCCGGGACAAACTTTCTGATTCCTGGTTAATCCCGGCCAAACCGGGACGGTTGGGAACCCTAGGCATTGGACGTAATACACAGTAATACTACAATAATTACTATTCACCTGCAACCCTCATATACCTCATATAATTGTTTGCATTTGGTGCATATTGGGATTGAACAAACTTTAGAGATGTAGATGCAAAATTGAATCGTTTAAGCTAGCGGCTCTCGTCACACTGAACACTGAACTGCTTAGATCTTTTGTAAAAGACTATGTGTATAAATTGTTCAATGACACCAAAGTTGTTATAAAGCTTGGATTTACGATCGACTTCACCTCACTGGGCGTTAAATTAAAATTATATACTTTCAAAAGATTTTTGCCATGCACATTCTAGATGCATTTCTTTAGTCTACATGAATTAACGTTCTAAACTTGTTGGTTATTTTTAAAACATTGAAGAGATTGAAATAAATTTCAGTACACAATTATACCGTACGATTAAAAAAAAACGGCGTTTGATGGCTATGAAATGAATATCGCTCTCATTTTATATGTAAATTTATATGGAAAATGTCATCGATCGTCATTTCCCAGCCAACTGGACACCTTACAGCTGGCTATACTGGGTGTTTCAAAAAACATGTGCCATCTCTTGTGGGGAGATTCCTCACGTAAAAATAAGATTTATTTTTCATATCAACATAGGTCCGATTCTGCTTTGTTTCGTAGCTACACGGTGTTAAAGTTTTAATATTTTTTTGATTTCTTATAATTTTCTTCCAAGTACTTTTAACGTCTCGAATGAAATTCTGAGGGTAAAAGTTACTATAAATGCGACATATTTTAAAGCTAAAAAAGTGTCGACATATTTACCAGGGACGTGCATATGGGTTATCACTTTTTAAAAAAAGTATGTACGCCACTGATATTCTCTTGTTAGCGAAATAGTGTAAGCAGTTTAATGCCGATTAAAAAGTGTCTCTTGATATTTTGTCGATTTCGGCTTCCTTGATGGGATAAACACAATTTTATGAATTTGCCTTGATCCAAGTCTAATAGCAACCTTTGAAAAATTTTAATTTCATTAACTTGCGAAACTTTTAAATAAATACTCATTGATTCCTCATCAAAAAATATGAAAAAAAGTTCCGTAAACATGGGTATGAACATGCCTAATTTTAGAGTTACAGGATTTTAAAAATTTTTATAATTAGTTTTTTTGTAATTATCTTAAACACCATTATTTTTTTATTTGAAATTGCTGTAGGTTGGACTAATAGTAATAATATTTAATGAATCAAGTAAAATAGGTATATAATTTATTATTTTTATTTTTATTTTAATTTAATTAATCGTGATTAATACATTATGATCCATTTCTCCCCCAATGTTTTAGCTATTTTTTAACATCCTTACTTCATCTATTTCAAACGACCATGAACAAAAACCACACTTCCATCGCAAAAATTCGTTTCTGCTCTTACATATATTACGTTTCAACAATTTTCGCACCGTGGTGTGAATTAAATTATGCAAAAATCCTAATAGTGTTTTTTCTTTCAGATGACCACTCAGACTACGGCAGTACAGTCAGCGGCAGCACGGGCAAATCCCCAGGACCCATATTCCCGCCCCCACGTTCACGTTTCCTGGTCAGCCGCCCCCCGGAGCGGTGCTCACCCACAAGGCGGCCGTGTACTACCATCACCAGCTCAGTTTACAAGAGGACCAGGGTATTGACATGACACAGGTACCGATTTGATATAAATATTTACTTTACTGTAAATACAGATGTTACCTACTTGTTTGAGATTCTCCATTGGTCGGCACAAAAAATGGACACACCTTAAAATTTCATGTTTTTTAAAGTTCAATCTATTTTGTTCTAATAAGGATGGCTGCAACGACGTCTCGTAATCCTGCTGTTAAAACATAACCAGCTGGTTTTATACAGGGTGTTTCAAAAAATATGTGCCATCTGTCGTGGGGACATTCGTCGCGTAAAAATAAGATTTATTTTTCATATCAACATACGTCCCATTCTGCTTTGTTTCTTAGCTACAGGGTGTCAAAGTCTTAATCTTAATAATCTTTCGATTTATTATAATTTTCTTCCAAGATCTTTTAGTGATTCGAATGAAATTTTGAGGATGAAAGTTACTATAAATGCAACATATTTTAATACTAAAAAAGTGTCAATAAATTCATCAGAGACGTGCATATGGGTTATCCCTGGAATATTTTTCAAAAAAAAAACATGTGCGCCACTGACTTTTTTCTTTTGATATTAAAATTATGTAGGCTATTTAATGCCACTTAAAAATTATCTCTTGATATTTTGTCGAATTCGGCCTCCTTGATCAGATAAACGCAATTTTATTAATCAAAATTAAAAAATTATATATTTTACCTAATTTATTATTAAATATTATTACTAGTAGTTATTATTACTATTAGTCCAACATTCAGCAATTTCAAATAAAAAAATAATGGTATTTAAGATAATTACAAAAAAACTAATTTTAAAAAGTTTTAACATCCTGTGAATCTAAAACTATGTATTTCCATACCCATGTTTATAGGAACTTTTTTTCATAATTTTTGATGAGGAATCAACGAGTACTTATTTAAAACTTTTGCATGTTAATGATATTAAATTTGAGATTGTTATTAACTTGGATCAAAGTCCATATTTCGCTAACAACAGAAAAAGTCAGTGACGTACATGTTTTTTTAGAAAAATGTTCCAGTGATAACCCATATGCACGTCCCTGGTCGTTTAAAATATGTCGCATTTATAGTAACTTTTACCATCAAAATTTCATTCGAATCACTAAAAGATCTTGGAAGACAATTATAATAAATCGAAAGATTATTAAGACTTCGACACCCTGTAGCTAAGAAACAAAGCAGAATGGGACATTGTTGATATGAAAAATAAATCTTATTTTTACGTGAGGGATCTCCCCACGAGAGATGGCACATCTTTTTTGAAACACCCTGTATATAAAAACCAATTACTGTTTTAACATCAGGATTACGGGACGTCGTTGCACCTACTCTAAGCCTATTTTGATATGATTTTTAAGCAATATATAGCTACATTATTTGGCTCTTTTTAAATTAAAAAATTAATAAATTCCTTATGTGTCTATTATAAGAGGAAAAACAAAATGTTATTTGAGCAAAAGTTTTGAAACACCCTGTGAAATGGTTTAACAAAGTAAGGAATTTAAAAACCATTTTATCATCAAGGTGCATCTTTTTTCGATGGTTCGTTTTTGATTTATCTTAGTTACGTTATTTTTATTGGAGATACTCGTTTTTGAAGAAGACATTATCGATTTATAGCAATTTCAGAATTAAAAGCATACCTTTGATTTTGGTCCTCATGAACACACCTATGAAATAGTGGTTAATGCTTTTTTAATGTCACTATCATTGGAAATGGCATATTATTACTGTCTGTTGCTAGCATAGGTTGCTAGTTGCTCTAGCAGAAATGGTTTTAAGTGCAGAAGTAGATCTCTACCATGTTCAATTAAAACAACAATATCCCCGCGTAACTTCTGAACTTAAAGCCTCCAAGTAAACGCTGCCAGAGAACTGCCAATAAACAATAATAATATGGCTTTTCAATGACAGTTAACATTACAAAATAAATAAAGACTATTTCATAGGTATATTGATTACAACCAAAAGCAAAGGCATGCGTTTTAATGTTAAAATTGCTGTAAATCGTTACTGTTTTCTTGAAAGCGAATATCTTTAACAAAATAGGCTATCGAGATGATTGAAAAACAAAGTATCAAGAAAATATGCATCTTGATGATAAACAAAAATAACAACATTTAAAATTGACCAAGCAAAGAAAAAAAAACTCAATTTTAGTGAGGATGCAGTCAATAATCGCCACATGGGCTAATAAAACTGCTTTTTATTTTGTCAAGCTTTCGAGAAATTTATTCCCATCATCTGGATAGTTTCTAAAATGTATAAAAAAGGCATTAAAATTTTGCAATTGTATAAAAAAACAAACTTACGAACGAGTCAATTAACAAAATAACATCGTTTGTACAATAAGACTTTACAAACTAACATCATTGAACATTGGAATCACAAAGAATTTCCTTTATAAAAATATTGACAATACATATACATCTAGACACTCTTTTTTACAAAATTACTCAAAAATAAATTGCTACATTGTTGTTTCGAGCTCGATCAAACATTAACTAGAGTAAGTCTACTAACTAAGACATAAGGCTCGTGGTATATTTATTAGTAAGAATTACACACAAAACTCTTGGATTATTTACATGATGTAACTTATCCTTCCTTATAGTCCCCAGGTCGAGATAGTCCAGGTTCTTCCAGTGGGAGCGCGGGTTCTGGGTCCAGACATAGTACCGCTTCCCTCGACAGCGGCAGGGCGTCGTACCATCCTCTGAGCACGGCAGGGAGAAGTACCATAGGTTCTTCGAATAGCCCCAGGTGTTCTTTGAGTTCGTGTTCGATCGGATCCGATCAAGGCAGGATAGAAAGAATGATCCATCAAGGAGTACCAGTACGTATTACAATCAAATATTTACTAGATATGGATTATATATAAAATAGATATTTTGATGTTATGGATCTATCACCTAGTTATTTATAAAAAAATATACTAAAAACTCTGTTTTACTAATAACCTAAAAATTTGGGTTTTTCAGGGCAGAAAACATACTTAAAAATATTTATTAAGTGGAGTACCAATTTGATACAATTTTCTGCCTAACTTTAAGCGGTTTTTTTTATAGCGTATAATAAATGTATATCTAGGTACAGGGTGGGTCAAATTGGACGCTTTTAAAGGGAAACACCCTTTTCTATAGGAGATAGACGAAAAGTAATATCGGTGTCTGGAGCTCAATTTTTATCAAAAACATGATGGTGAAAACCGCACATCGATATCTGTTACCGTTTCGTAGTTACCGGGCGTTTTTCAAAAATGTACATTTTTAACAAATCGTTATAACTTCTTTGCTATGGAAAATTTTGAATTTTTATGAAAACATTTTCAAAGTACCTTTTTACGTAGAATTTAATGGTTTAAGTATAATTTTTTTAAATTAATAATTTAAGAATTATCTACAGAAAATATATTTTTTTTATATGGGACACCCTGTATAATTTTAATTCATTGAAAAGAATTTAAAATAACTTTTCCAAAAATATAGCATGCTTTGCAAAAATATAGCATATTTTGTTCGATTCCTCTTCGATATATAGATTTTTTAAAAATTCGCCCACTTTGAATAAGTAGGCTTTGAACGGCGCGGCGCCGACTGTAATGCAAAAAAAATTTAGCTGTGAGCAGCAATTAAATCGAAAATAATATTTGCAATGAGAGATACAGAATTTTATAACAATTTAAACTATATTTAACAACATCAACATATTTAAACTATATCAATAACAATAAAAATTAATAGCAAACCAAGACATGTGATTTTGCTACAGGTATTAGACATGTCAACTCGTTAAAATGGGACTTGCACATCGAAGCTTTATCAAAGAAACTAAGCGCTGCCTGTTTTGCGCTAAGATCAGTTTCTAAGGAACTTAACTTATCAACCTCTAGAATAGCTTATTATTCCCTTTTTGAGTCACATCGTCGTTATGCTCTTCCATTCTGGGGTACTTGCTGTGCAATAAAATTTGGTCGTATTTTCAAACTTCAAAAGAGAGCAGTTCGATATTTATTGGGCCTGAACAGTAGAACTCACTGCCAGTCTTCTGTTATGGACAGACAGGACCGTTTTTGGACATTTCTCGCGGAATTCATTAACTCAGTGGGAGTGAAAGAATGATACCCTGACATAACCGCTAAGTACTTCTAATTTTTGTCTAGATTATACGGGCAATTTAAAAATAAGAACCTTTATTTTTCCGCAAAGATAAAAATCCATAGGCACTAAGTCCGGCGGCCTCGATGGCAAACGGCTGGGATCTTGGTTAGCTATTCAATTATTCTCGAAATTGGCTGCAAAAATTTGCTGATAACTTCAGCGTTCTGAGGCGTCTTGCGTCTGTGTCATAATTTTAAGTTCTTTTCATTTAATTAAAAATATACAGGGTGTCCCAAATAAACAATTTTTGTGTTGATAACTCTTAAATTATTAATTTAAAAAAATTATACTTAAACCATTACATTCTACGTAAAAAGATGCTTTGGAAATGTTTTCATAAAAGTACAAAATTTTCCATAGCAAAGAAGTTACAACGATTTGTTAAAAATGTACATTTTTGAAAAACGCCCGGTAACTACGAAACGGTAACAGAATCATGATTCACCATCATGTTTTTGATAAAAATTGAGCTCCAGACACCGATACTAGTTTTCGTCTATCTCCTATAGAAAGGGTGTTTTCCTATAAAATCGTCAAATTTGACCCACTCTGTATATCAAATTCTCTTTAAACTTTGTTCCACAAGATAGGGTTTCTTTTGAATAATACCTCTCAACCGATTTATTATGTTTGTAAATTATTTAAATAATTTTACTACTACATAGATAATATTTCACCACTAAACTAAATGAAAATTTAATGAACAAACAATTTTAATAAGAAAAATCTCGACAGCGTTATCAATTATAGTATGTCTCGGGAGAGTATATAATTTCGATAAAATACACATTTTGAATTAAAATGATATACAACTTCCACTGTGTTTTTTCGGAGAACAATTTTAGTTTTTGTTTATAAATGAGGTGTACCAGTTGAGCAGGAACTATTACACCGAATGTATATTGTTTTATTAATGATACAACTTAAATTATTTAAGTTTTTTTTTTCAATCTAATTCTTATTTTTAGGACCAAGATATCATTCACTCGTGGCTGGTAGACTTGCAATTCGAAGAATACTACCCATTGTTTGTGTCGGCGGGTTATGACTTACCGACCATCGGCAGAATGACTCCAGAAGATCTCACAGCTATTGGAATTAAGAAACCAAATCATCGGAAGAAGTTAAAAGCCGAAATTGCCCAGTTGAATTTACCTGACAACTTGCCGGAGTTTATTCCTGTGAGTTGATTTTTTCAAATCTATTGTTTTTGCTGAATATCTTGGATAGATTTAGATTAGAATTTATGAGTGCGTTATGAACTACCTTGATAACCATTTTGCCAAATTATAAATTCTACAGAACCTACAGATGAAACAATTGGGCTCATAGATTTATCTGGCTTATGAATTTTAGGCAACACATACAATCTTGGTACTGAGGGTTTGGATACCTGCAGTTTTCTTTTTAAAGGAAGATCAATAAGAATAAGATTGTAAAAAAACTCTAAAACAATGTAACAATGTTTAGAATATAATGATAATATGATTTCTCTAAGGCTTTCGACTGTGTAAATCAAAATATCTTAATTAACAAATTGCAATACTATGGATTCAGGGGAGTGCCGCTCGAATGGCTTAAGTCATCTTGGCAACAGAAGACAGCTTGTGAGGATTGTTACGTCTATGTCTTCTTGTAAGCCTATAGAATATGGTGTCCCTCAAGAAACTAAGCGCTGCCTGTTTCGCGCTAAGATCAGTTTCTAAGGAACTTAACTTATCAACCTCTAGAATAGCTTATTATTCCCTTTTTGAGTCACATCTTCGTTATGCTCTTCTATTCTGGGGTACTTGCTGTGCAATAAAATTTGGTCGTATTTTCAAACTTCAAAAGAGAGCAGTTCGATATTTATTGGGCCTGAACAGTAGAACTCACTGCCAGAATTTCTTTAAAAATTTCAAAATACTGACTCTTTCTTCTTTATTCATTTTTGAATCCGTTTCCTTAATCCGCAAGCACATATCTGCTATTCCCGAAAGGCCATCTCACAACTATCCACTTAGGAATGCGGAGCACGATCTTTATCTGCCAACCCCGAGCTCAGAACTAGTTAAAGGCTCAATACTGTACAATGCCAAAAAAATGTACAATCATCTGCCTTTGAATATCAAGTCGCTTTCATTCTTTTCCGCATTTCGCAAAGTTCTGAAATCATATACTTGCTGGAGAGAGCCCTATATGCGGTAAACGACTTTTTTGTTGATGTTTAATCATGAACAATTTTGAATTTTAAAATTTTGATCATCTCATAACTGGTCAAAGGTCGAGTATTAAATATTTTGTAGCTCTTAAAATTATATCCATTTACAATTTTCCTATTGTAAAATTTTATTGATACGCCTTGTTGTGTTCTGCAATTGTCCATTATGTTATACTTGTAATTTAAATGACTTAATTTTTTTGAATTGTATAATTATTTTTTATTATTTGTATATTTTTATTATTTGTATATTGTTTGTTTTGTAAATGCTTTGTCAATGAAGCTATTTTGGCCTTTTGCACAATAAAGCGTTATTTATTATTATACCGATAAAACCTTTTTCATATCTTTGAGAACAACGACCCTGTATAATTAATAGTTAACCTGAATTTAACACACGAAAATGTGTCAAAAACAACCTCTATCAACTTCTATAATATATAATCCTTCCAAGAACCTTCAAAATCCATATTTTGCGGTGGATTTTTATTTCAACATTTATTAAATACTTAAACAAAATAAAACACAAGTTCGCCCCAGTATCCCAAAACACTTTAACACTGGACGCGCGTTTTGCTAGACATATTAGCATCATCAGCAGATAATTAAAACTGATGTGTTAACCATTAATCATGAGCATTATCAGCAGATGATACTGTATAGAAATAATACTTTCTTTGTACTATAGGGCTCATTAGAAGAATGGTTAAATCTTCTCCGTTTGGACGAATACCTCTCCGCTTTCATCGAGCAAGGGTACCAGACAATCGATGATGTCGCTCAACTGACCTGGGAAGACTTGGAAGAGTTCGGCATAGTTAAATTGGGCCACCAAAAGAAGATCATGCTGGCGATCAAGCGGATCAAAGATATCAAGGCGGGCAAAAGGATCAACTCGGAATCCAACAGGATCTATTCGACACAAGTGAGTGCGGCTTTATAGTTTTAAAATTTGTTAGATGTCCCCCTCACTATGTTTTATTTTCTCGGTTCCATTTTTTCATTCGTTCAAGTTTTTAAGCCTTATGAAAAGTCTTTATGTTTCAGTAGTGTCCATTCTGAATTTTTTCATGATATTGGTGCTTATTTTGAAGTATAATACTTATACCAATTTCCAACTAGTTTAGTTTATACCTGATAATGGTCAGTAATCCATCTCACCGAAACGTTGTGTTAATCAAAAAATAAATGAAGACAACGGAAGTCCGAAATTCTTTTAGTTTCAATACTGAACCATAGTCTACCATATTCATTTTTAAAGTTGATTCATGTGCTATGGTATAATAAACCTATAGCGTCTATAAAACTGCTCTATATAGTTATCACTTACTATATCTCAAAATTATTATAGTATAATCTAGGGCAATGAAATTTTTTTGAAGTGAAGAACTACTGAAACGTAGAATAGTATAATCCTAAAAATGTGTTGCCAGGTTTGTTTAGATAATATTATATAATTATATTTTTAATAATTGGGATGGTAATTTTTCAATTCATTTCACGCCCTTTATACCTTTTGGTCTCTTATTGTACCTTAATATCTTATAATATTACATGTTCTTACGCGGCCCATACATTATCAAGCAAATTGCGCAACAAAGCGATGCGCAACGTTGCGTTGCACAACTGATTCAGCGGCCCATACATTGTTGCACAAATGCATTACCCATGCACTTGGTAAAATTTTGATCAAACTTTTTATTAAAAATTGTGCATTGTTCGAGAAACAATCATGTCCTCAATTGCCATTACGTCAATTATTATAATATATACCCTAAATGATGTCGATGATACCAAAAAACGAAAAAGAAATCATAGAATTTGGATGAAAGAACTAAAATATTGCACAACGAAGCTCAACACACACATACACTACAAACCGCGTTGCGCAGAGTCCTGTTGCACAAAAGAATTCAAACATTCTTGAGACTTATCAAACAATTGCGCAACGCATCAAACGTTAACATACATTGGCAACTCGTTGCGCAACAGCCTGTGTTGCGCAATTTGTTTGATAATGTATGGGCCGCTTTAAAGCGGCAGCCATATATTACTAACGTCTACAGATGCCTGAACAATACGTTTACATCGCTTTCAGATGGAGCGGAGCGTCAGCGAGTGCCATGAGTTTAAACTTTGGTTTAAATGAACAATTTTACATGGGTCGCGTATGCTCCGTCCGGATGATTTCGTCTGACGGCTATCTTGAAAAAACAAGCAGCACAAAAACAGCACGGACGGTCCGCGCGAACGCTCCGCTCCATCTGAAAGCGCTGTTATTTATATCAAACTGTATTAAAAATGCCTTATTTTTCGTTTAGAGGCTATCACTTTTTTCATAATAATTTTTGCGTTGTTCAAATCTACTCTATGCCCTGTATCCCATGAATGCTGACAAATCTTAGATTTGCGAAAATCGACCCTTTTTAAATAATCCTAATTAATTATTAACCTATTTGTTCTTGATTATTTTTAAAAATAACTATTTTATTTTGTAGATTTTCTTACAATGTAATTGGCGAAATACCCACTGGACATTTTTGAAGAGATTAAAGGTTGATTCTCACTATACCTTCCGTTTCCATTCCATATTCGTTCCGTATTTTTATTGTATTGACGCTATACGTAAGCTTCCGTTCCGTATCAGTTCTATACTTTTTATTGGACAATTTATATCATTACGAAAGTTTTATTTTAAAAATTTGTATCTTTTGAAAATGATAATTGATTTAATTAAGAGTCGAAAGAATAAATAAATATCAGAAAAATTTTCACAGAGCTGGTACAAATATAAGAACTTGACCGATACGCTTCAGTCCGTCCACCAAAAAAATGTATGGAAGGAAAGGATATGGAACGAAAGGGAAACGGAACGGATAGTGTGCATTGTCCTTAACTTTGAAGTTTAAGTAAATTTTAGATATAGCGTGTTTGACATAAAAATTCGTCAAATTTTACAGGGAATTTAAATCTAAAGATTTTTCAGTGAGTTTCAAATATTTCAGAGTCGTATTATATTGAAAATGTGTTTAAACAAGAGGCATCATCGTAAGACAAAAATTCTATATTAAATGTTATGGAAACTACATCAGTAGTTTCTACAGAGTAACTTTCTACAATTTAGACTTATTATCCTATATGTTGATAATTATTTTTAAATTCGAGTGTAAAAATCCTAGAGGAATCTAACGATTTTAGATGAGATAGTTTCATATACTGTACATATCTGGCAACACTAAATTGTATCGAATTATGATATATTTCAGGTCTATGAACTAAGGCTTAAAAATCTTTCTTTTACTTTGAGCATGTTTTCATTCTGTTCACGAGTCTTAGATCGTTTAGATGATTAGAAACATCGACTTTGCCGTTAGAATAGATGTTTCACATCCAGCATCCGAACCTCTAGTTGTTTCGGTTAATTTGCTACACAAATCACACTACCTACATTAGTTTTTTTATTTTTTTTTTTTATTTTCTAACACACTCCCTAGCAAACATGTTCAAAGTAACCGTATCATTATCATCGATTATTTTACCGATTATTTTATTAATTTAACCACATCTGTAATGTTATCGTAACGACTAAAAATAATTGGGCTGCATAATGGCGTACCATTTCCACTAATTTTTACTGTTCAAAACGGAAACGAGATGTGAAACGTCAGTTTCATGCATTTACGTTGCACCCTGTCCAAATAGATGGCCAGCAAGCTGTTCACACTCCTCGTTTCTATCTGTCACGCATTCAGTGATGCCAACATCTTTTATTGTAGCTTCGATTTATTTTATTGTACGCTTCTACTAACCATTAACCATCTCTTAATGCATACATTAATTTATTGCTGTATCTATCGGTTTTGTCATTCGAATCATTCAGTGTACTATAAACATCAACAGATTAATTTATATTTTTGATTTTATATTTTTTCTGCGACCCCATGTTTGTGAATGTAACAACGAAATAAAATTGATGACAATTTTGGCCAGGCCAATCTCTAAATTATAGAAAGATTTAAAAAGCATAGAACGTTTCCAGACACCACAAATCTATTTTCTAAAAAATATTTCTCCTCGAATTTTAAACTAGGTACACCATTTAAAAATAATGTTTACTCATTATAAAAATAAATTAGCACCTTCTTAAGCCAACTTGCAGTAAGCGCCATTAGTAGGCTTCAGTAGGCTGGACCTCGCTAAAATTGTCATTGATTATCATTTCTCAGCCGTCTTTGACGCATTTTTTTTTCGATCGTATGGTATTATGATAAATGTTTTTTAATAATGATGCGGTTTGCACAAACCTGTTCCACATTTCTGTCAAACGGAAGATGCTGTAAACAAAATTTTCATAGCTCTCTTCGTTTCTGAGCTACAGGGTCTTTTTGAAAATTTTGCAATTTGGGACACCCCCCGTATCTCTGTTATTGCGAAAGGTATCGAGAAGGTGAAACTGATTCTTGTAGAACTTTATGTAAAATACGCAATGGCGTCGTGGTATTTACTAAAATAGTCATACATACGCCAAGAATACATACCATACCAACAGGTATGTTAGGCTATTAAGATCGGCAAAAAAAAACTGGCGCCTGGTAGGCCACTGTTCGGTTTGTATATGATTCAAAATAAAAAATATATAAATTGTAAAATTAGTATTTTTTTAATGGCCATAATGGCGTTCTTTCAAAATCATCGAACAACTAAATCATTTCCATAAATCCAGTGACGTACCGTGACTTTGAATTTTGAGACCAAAAACTGAAGCAATAATTTGTCAAAAAAATGATATTACAGCTATATGTTTTATTTTGCATAAAAATGTTAACTAATAAGTTAGAATAATTATAATTCTTCCCTACCTAAGTGGTTTTATCGCTAAATTTAACTAAAGCTAAGTACAACACCAATCTTAAATACGTGGACTATTATAACAACAAATAGGTACATCGTAAAAGACTATTTTGGTAGCATTCTGAACTAGAATTCAAGTTAAACATTTTAGAAAATAATTTAAAGGAAAAATGTTAACTCAGTTAATATTAATTTTTGTCTACTGCTCAGATTTATCTGGTCTTCTATCATATATTTTGGAAATTAGAGAATTACCTGAAGATTTTCATCTAAAAATTGGCATTGATAGTGGTGGTGGATCACTTAAAGTTTGTCTGAATGTGCTCCCTCAAAATGATCCCGAATATTTCAAGAAATGTAAAAGTGCTGGAATTAATAAACTATTCATAATTGGCTTAGAACCAAAGTTGTCTGAATCTTATGCTAACATTAAAAGCCTCTTTGAGACGTTAGATCTGCAGTCCATATGTGGAATTTGTTCCTATCCTTTTGCCGCTGACTTTAAGCCTATTATGATTCTCCTTGGTCTTCAGTCAAATTCATCCACTCATACTTGCCCATGGTGTGATGTAAATGTAAAGGAAACGGAAATAAATAAAATACAAATTTATGGCAACAATCTGGAGGAAATATAACAAAAGCCAAAGATTTTAGTAAGCGTTTTTGTTTGAAATATTTTTTTTGTATTTTTTAAACTGTTGTTCGATGAACCATATAAAAAAGGGCAATTATTTTTTAGAAAAATGTATAAACATACCTTTAATCATTGGCGACGAAGAAACACCTGTCTTAAAGTATATCCCCCCTCCTGAGCTTCACCTTTGTTAGGTGTGGTTCAAAACTTTTGATTGTCTTGAATTGGAGAATACCAATATTGTAACAGAATGGATAAAAAAAGCGGGATTGAAACTAGATCATTATGGAAAATGTAACGGAAATAACGCCAGACAACTTTTAAAGAAAGTGGATATTTTGAAGACGATATCGCCCGGTAAAGAATCCTATTCAAAGTTTTGACAAGCAAAAACCTAAATATCTTTTTTTTAGGAAATAAATATATTGCAGTGTTTTCTGCATTCAATCAAGTAGTTTCGAGTTGTTTTGGTCAAGCACTAAACAAACATTTTGAACATGACATCGAACAATTTAGATTGGAAATACTCAACTTAGGTATTAAGATAACTCCAAAGATTCATGCAATTCTGCATCATGAGCCAGAGTTTATAAAAGCAAATCATAGAGCTCTAGGATTTTACTCGGAACAAGCATCTGAGCAGGTTCATTTTTCCTTTAAATTATTTTCTAAAAAGTTTAACTTGAATCCTCGTTCAGAATGCTACAAAAATAGTCTTTTACGATGTATTTGTTGTTATAATAGTCCACGTATTTAAGATTTGTGTTGTACTTAGCTTTAGATAAATTTAGCGATAAAACCACTTAGTTAGGGAAGAAATATAATTATTCTAACTTATTAGTTAACATTTTTATGCAAAATAAAACATATAGCTGTAAAATGATTTTTTTGACAAATTATTTGTCAGTTTTTGGTCTCAAAATTCAAAGTCACGGTACGTCACTGGATCAATGGAAATGATTTAGTTGTTCGATGATTTTGAAAGAACGCATTATGGCCATTAAAAAATTACTAATTTTAAAATTTATATATTTTTTATTTTGAATCATATAAAAACCGAACAGTGAGGCACGTATAGCCGCACATACTAAAATATGTTAACATCTCAAAAACTGCGACTTTGACTGATTTTGATGTTATTACAAATTTTGTTGCAAATATTATTCCTAATCTTAATTTGAAAACCGCGTTTCGCTAGCTACTGTAATATTGGAGTTACGATTTTTTTAAATTTTTAACCCCCTCCCATACCCCTTACCAACCCCCCCAGCCGCACCAAAAACTAATGGCCAGATTCTCGGGTGCCACAGTATTTTTGTGCCAAATTTTGTTAAAATCGGTTCAGCGGTTTTTGAGTTCTTCTTGTTTTAGAAGAACTTAAAATAGAAAAATAAAAAGAAAATAGAGGTAGAGAGACGGACACAGACGGACAGACAGACAGACACCATGAAAATATTTTGTATTTAGGTCATTTATAACCCAAATAACTCATTTTGAGTGAAATTAAAAAAAACTTTTTTGCCGATCTTAATAGCCTACCCATACCTATTGGTATGGTCGGCTAAAAAGTTCTTTTAATTTCACTCAAAATTAGTTATTTGGGTCATAACTGACCTAAATACAAAATATTTTCATGGTGTCTGTCTGTCTGTCCGTCTGTAACACGATAACTCAAAAACCGCTAAACCGATTTTAATCAAATTTGGCACAAAAATACTGTGGCACCCTAGAATCTGGCCATTAGTTTTTGGTGGGGGTGGGGAGTTGGTATGGGGGTATGGGTGGGGGTTAAAATTTTTAAAAAATCGTAACTCCAAAATTACAGTAGCTAGCGAAACGCGGTTTTCAATTTAAGATTAGGAATAATATTTGCAACAAAATTTGTAATAACATCAAAATCAGTCAACGTCGCAGTTTTTGAGATAATTTATTATTAACATATTTTAGTATGGGCGGCTATACGTGTCTCCCCGCTCCAATTTTTTATAACGGGATGGGTTTGCAAATATCTTAAAGCTTGCCTGATAGCATTTTCCAGGTCTTAGGCATTGTTGTAGTTGCCACGATGTATTTCATATTTCAAAAATCCCTAAATACAGAAATCGAGAACGGACAAATCCAGAGATCAGGGTGGCATCGTATGGGTCCATATTGGTCTCAATTCATAGATTTGGGAAATAGCCATTTAACAAAACTCGAATATTTTCAAAGTCGTATATAAGTATATTTCATGTAAATTAGCTAAAGGAGTATCTAAAAGTTCCGGTACGATAGCTTCCAAGATTTACAAATAGAGGTAGAGAGTTAAGTGTAAGAGAGTTAGTTTCCCTGATAAATAAAGAATTTATTAGTGGCTCAAAAATTATACCAAGAGATAGATGGCAGTATATTTTTAATAATTCTTGAGTTTCTTTTATTATCAATCATGGCCTACTACTACTAATAATGATGTTTTAATGAAAACTTTTAAATATTGTAGTAAATAGTGAAACTAAATATTGAGTCATATATAGTTTTAAGAAGCTTATAGCAAGCCCGATCATATAATTTATAAATATACGGGGTGTTCCATTTAAGAAAACATAACTTTAGTTCATATTTTCAAAAATATTCTTTTCGTAGATTAATAGATTACGCCACTCTACTCTGCGTTATAAGTTCTACAATAAAGAGTTTTCACCTTCTCGATACCTTTCACGATAACAGAGATACGAGGTGTGTCCCAAATTGCTAAATTTTTAAAAAGACCCTGTGGCTCAGAAACGAAGAGGGCTATGAAAATTTGGTTTACAGCATTTTCCGTTGGAGAAAAAAGTGGAACAGGTTTGTGCAAACCACACTCTTCTATCTTCACTAATAGCGGAGATATCGTCTGATTTCAACCAAAATGGGACACCTTGTACTGGGTGGGTCAAATTCGACGCTTTTAAATGGAAACACCGTTTTCTATAGGAGATAGACAAAAACTAATATCGATGTTTGGAACTTAATTTTTGTCAAAAATATGATGGTAAAAACCGCATATCGATATCTGTTACTGTTTCGGAGTTACGGGGTGTTTTTCAAAAATATGCATTTTTAACAAATCGCGGTAACTTTTTTGCTATGGAAAATTTTGTATTTTTATGAAAACATTTCCAAAGCATTTTTTTACGCAGAATTTAACGGTTTAAGTATAATTTTTTTTTAATTAATAATTTAAGAATTATCAACAGAAAATTTGATTTTTTATATGGGACACCCTGTATATTTTTAATTTATTGAAGAGAATTTAAAATTACCTTTCCAAAAATATAACACACTTGATATTTTGCTCGATTCCTCTTCGAGATATAGAGTATATAAAAATTCGCCCGCTTTAAATAAGTAGGCTTTGAACGGCACCGGCTGTAATGCAAAAAAAGTCTAGCTGTGAGCATCAATTAAAAGGAAAATAATATTTGCTATGAGAGATACAGAGTTTTATAACAATTTAAAATATATTTAACCAACATCAACACATTTAAACTATATCTAATAACAATAAAAATATAGCAAACCAAGACATGAGATTTTGCTACAGGTGTTCGACATATCGACCGTCTTCTGTTATGGACAGACGGGGCAGTTTTTAAACATTTCTCGCGGAATTCATTAACTCAGTGGGGGTCAAAGATACCCTCTCATAACTCCTAAGTATTTCTAATTCTTGTGTAGATTATATGGAAGAATAAGGAACCTTTATTCTTCCGCAAATATAGTCAGACGGCCAACGGCTGGGATCTTGGTTAGCTATTCAATTATTCTTGAAATTGGCTGCAAAAATTTGCTGACAACTTCAGGGTTCTTAGGCGGTGCGTCGTCTTGCTGGAAAAATATGTTTTCCAGTTCCATTAAGGGCATATCATCAATAAGGGGTCCAAAGCCTACTAGTTAAAAGTGGCGAACTTTTAAAAATTCTGTATTTCGAAGGTGATTATAACAAAATATCAAGTGTGCTATATTTTTGGAAAGGTAATTTTAAATTCTTTTCAGTTAATTAAAAATATAGAGGGTGTCCCAAATAAAAAATCAATTTTTCTGTTGATAACTCTTAAATTATTAATTTTAAAAAAATTATACTTAAACCATTAAATTCTACGTAAAAAGGTGTTTTGGAAATGTTTTCATAGAAATACGAAATTTTCCATAGCCAAAAAGTTACAGCGATTTGTTAAAAATGCACATTTTTGAAAAACACCCCGTAATTCCGAAACGGTAACAGATATTGATGTGCGGTTTTCACCATCATGTTTTTGATGAAAATTGACCTCCAGACACCGATATTAGTTTTCGTCTATCTCCTATAGAAAAGGGTGTTTCCATTTAAAAGCGTCGAATTTGACCCACCCTGTACAGTCTGTCTAGCGATAGAATTGTGACAATGACAGTTGTTGGCTGTCATTTCAAGTCAAACGTGTTTTTTTTTCTGCCATTTTTTGGGTGTCATCTGGCGAAATCATCCTATCTCACATAGAGCAAGCTATAGTTTCTAAAGAGACATTAAAAAAACTTTAGTATTTCACATGAACTTCTTTACTGTTAAATTCATGTGTTTTCGTGTATTATCGTTACGAGACACCATAAAGAAATATATAGAAGTGTTGCTATACTAGAAAACTATAAAGAAACTTAATCGTATTCACACCCACCAGAAAATATATCGACTTTCAAGAATGACAGAAAATACTAAAATAACTGTTACTGTCATATATTATTTCGTAGATTATACAGACATTAATTTAGCGAATCTAAAACAGACAAAACAAAACTTTGACCAATTGAAATGAAGATCCCAACAAACCTCTGATCATTATAAAACCCTTTATCATATAAAAGTACCTACTTTAAATGACAAATAAATAAAACACTTGGGCCGTAGAAAAAAAATCATTAACATTACTCGAAAGTGTAAAATAAGAAAGATGTTGACAAAACTGCCGAACCAACCTGACCTATTGCTTACGCTGCATGTTTATGTATGTAAGGACGTGTTGGTACACGTACCCATGGACCTCCCCTCGCCCGGAGCGCCCCCTCAGGTGCACAGTACGTTCCGCTCGTTCCACCAGCCCTGGGAGATCGACCAGACGAGGCACATGACGACGTCGATGGGCCCCACTACCAACCCATCCTATACCTATTCAATGTATTGCACAGATATTGTGCCCATCAAGGTATTTCAAACTCATTTGCATGATACTTTAGATGTATAATATCGAATGTTACCTGTTAATAATTGAAACTAACTTATCCTAAAACTGATTTTAGATGTATAGTATGTCAATATTGATAGCTACTTTTCTAGATCTGGCTCCCAATTAACAAAGCTTATGACTAGTTTTTAGTTTTCATACGTTTATAGATACAGATAGTATTTGTCAAGTGCAAATATGATTTTATAAAACTCACCGTAGTGTTTGTTTATATTTTAAATTATTTTAACTTTGCAGTGCAACTTTTTTATATTATATATTTCAAAGATTACACTCAGATGCACAATTAAAAATTGAAACTGAATCATAAATTCAGTTCTTTATAAACTTTAGTATTGGGCTTTATTATACAGGATGTATTGGGCTGTATTATACACGATTTATCGAATGGTTGTTTTTGCCTTAACTTTAAAACTCTGTGCAATAATTTTGTGAGCAATCTTAAAACATTGTTTTTCTGTCAGTATCATCTCTCTTGAGCATTTTGTCTCTGTTTTTTATGTCTCGTGACAACACATGCCTTGGTTAATTTTTAAGAGCGAAATGAACTTGCCACCAAGAATTTGTAATTTTTAGGGTTCCGTACCCAAAGGGTAAAAATGGGAACCCCCTATTACCCTTGTATATATTCTTAAAGTTGTTCAACCGACTAGACAAAATGTGCTGCCATCTGGAGAACAAATCGTGAACCTTTCGGGGCGGAGTCAAAAATATCGATTATTTTCGTTATTTTCCTCAGAGTACTGTAATAATATAGCCCCCGGTTTCTGCGAACTTTAATAGTGATCAGCTGATTAAGAAATTTAAACAAAACTTTTATTTTATTGTAAATTGTGGATTATTTTTGCCTGTTATTTTAAGAATTCTAAACCGTATTAACAAAGAAATTATTATTTCAATATGTTGGTACATTATTTATATAATAATTTATAATAATGCTAATGGCTATTAATTAATATTTAAAAAAAGTTCACATACCTATTTTAATTTGATTTAATGCAGGTATAAAAGAATCATTTCATTCTTAGATTATTTTATTCTAAATTGAGTCCTTTACGAATTTTACGATATTTTTTTTGAAAACATAAAACTTTTTACATTCTTGATGCCAACTAATTGGTATGGTATTATTGGTATGGAAATTAGCCAAGAAAGAAAAGAATTGGCTATAACTTGACAGGCTTTAGAAAAAAAAAAACAGAAAACAGAAACTCATTAGGTATGTGATTATCTACAACATTTATGTGAAAACTTTTTGTCTAAAATACCATATGATCGAATAAAAACGGCGTCAGCGATGGCTATGAAATAACGATCGATGATATTTCCCATATAATTTTACATATAAAATGACAGTGATCTTCATTTCATAGACATCGTTGACGCCGTTTTTATTCGATCATACGGTAGATTATAATGGAATTAGAGACAAAAGTTTTAAAATAGCCGAAATTTGTTTTTTTCGAAATATCTAGTAAGCCTTGAACTTCTTCGAAAAATCCGAAAGGCGCCATATTTATGACCCCACAACACTGCAATTCTTTCTCCATTTAACCGCCTCTCTATCTTCAGTCTCCAGTAGTTTCCGAGATACCCATAGAGAACATCGTAGGAAACTCACCCTGTGTAGTATTTAGAAACTAACTATTATTATTATTTGACTAGATTAATTTGATTAATAAGACTCGATTAATTTAATTTAAAATAAATTTGATCAGGTTTTTTTTCGTATATTCTACTACCAGAAAACCAAAATTATATGATAATGCACTTTTCAACGAAGTTGAAGGAAGATATAGTGTATCTATCACAATAATTAATAGAATTACTACAATTAGAAGAAAAACAAAAATAATAAATACCCAAATACCTTCACCTACTACTCATCTACAAAATAAACTAATATAATCTCTTATAAAAACACTACACAACTACTTCTTGTATTCTACACTGAAAAAATTATCAAACTTACTAATTAATCAAACAAAAAGAAAAAAATAACCAAATTTTCCCTTCACCTACTACTTAACTACAAAATAATAAACTATAAAAACACTACTAAACTATTTGTGGTATTCTACACTAAACATTATAATTAAACTTAATAAAATTAATCTAATTTTACACTACAACTACTACAAAGAAATAAGAAAACATTTTTTAAAACTAGAAGAAACAGAACTTCGATAGGTGCGACCAGTATAATAGATCAAGCGGACAAAGAATATAAAATACTTTAAAAATGTGCATTCAGAAAAAAAAATATCTCGAAAATTATCTAAACAAACATTTTTTTTTCTTATCAGTGAAAAGCATCGGCCTCGTCGGCCTTGCGGAATTTGTCGGGTATTTACAATGGTCCGCAGCCCTGGTCAAATTGTATAATTACCAGCTTTTATAGCATATCTAATAGATAAAAAGTATCTGGTCGATTAGCAACCAATTGTCCGAAAATTATCGATTTTTATTTTCTCTGTTTTTATTGGTCTCTTCAAAATTCAGAGTAACAAAAAATATTTTTCTGTAGTAAAAGACCCCGCCATCTGGTGCTTTACATCCATAAACGTCTTAGGTTGAGCTAATTTAAAAATCCATATACAAGGCTATTACTAAAGGTGTACGCGCACTGAATCGGTACCAGTCCGGCGAGAAACGGCGAAGGCGGTGACTCCACTATCGTAGATAGGTAGAGGTAGGAATCTGGCCTCTACAGGCCGAAATGTTTTAGTGGACGCCGGCGCTGTCTATATGTACGATGGTCGCAGTCGCTTTTGCTGGTCGGTCCGATCCGATGCAGTGCGCGCCCTCCTTTAGACTTCGCTGTCCGTCCGTCCGTCACAAAGGTCTATCTTATGAACCGTTATAGCCAGACAGTGGAAATATTTACAGATAATGTATCTATGTTGCCGCTATAAGAACAAATACTAAAAACAGAATTAAATAAATATTTATAAATAAAAAAGTACTTTCACTAAACATTATCTTTTAAGTAAGAATTTTACATAGAATCTTTCAAGTCCTCGGTGGCCGCGTGGGTAAAGCGTTTGGGCTTTACGCTGCTATGACGTTGGAGCCGTAGTAAGGCAGGTTCGAATCCTAGTCAAGGCGACTTTTTTTAATGTTTTTTTTAAATTTTTACATATTTATTTTTACTTTTTACATATTTATTATTGATTAATACAATTTTTAGTAATGTGTTTCTTCATTTTTTTAATTACTTATACGCGCATTCAAATTTTCAACTAAATCGCAAAAAAGTTTATAATAATATAGTGTCTAATGTTGTATAGATAATGAAAGGTACGGAACCCTTCGTGCACGAGTCCGACTCGCACTTTTTTCAATCATCATTACTTTTTGATGTTATTTTTCAATACGACGAGGTGGCTTTGGTGACCATTGTAATATATCATTGGATACTATACACTAGGTTAAAAAAATGTTAAAGAGCAACAATACAGTCCTGATATTAAAGAAAACATATGTAATCATCAAGTATACAAACAGAAAAAAATTGTAACAAATACCCTAATACTTTGTATTGCCTCCATTGGCTGCTATAACTGCCTGTACAGGGTGAGTCAACGATAAAGTAAAGTCCATTATCTCATTTGTTTCGAGGTTTACAAAAAAATATTAAATGTAACAGTTGTAGAGATGGTTCAGATACACATTTTAAAATTATTATACAGTATACCGGGTGCTTCAAAAAAGTGTGGCGAATATAACATATATTTTTTTAAATGCAACACCCCATTTTTATTTTATTTTTACATTCTGCGTAAAATTTCATAACTTTTTTATAATAATGTTATATACCTAAAGTTAATAGTTTTTGTTATATTTCAATTTGTTTAAACAAATGTTAGATTGCAGTGTGATAAAAAATTGTCATTGATGGCATTGATTCTGAAGTTAGACAACTAACATTTGGTAGGAGAATTTTATAGAGATACAGGAAAAGACCTATGTAAAGATATTTTAGTTAGATGTTACAGGGTGTTCAAAATATATTTATGAATTTCAACTACTTAAAATCAAGAAATTTCAATTTTTTTAAATGGTACACCCTATATATTATTATTTTTTCTGATAGATTTTACAAAACTCTTCAACTTTTATTAAGTATGTTATATACCTATTTTTATTAGTTTGCGATTTATTCCAATTTTTTCTATCTTTACCCATATTTTTAATACAATTGTGCTATAACATCATAGTCGCCATGATAAAAAGTACTAATTATTACAATTTCATGTCTGTTAAGCAAGTTAAGAACAAAATTTGAATTTCAGTTAAATTTGTTGTAATGAGTATAAATGGTAGAGATAATAGTTACAGATTTTCTTGAAATGAACTAGTCAATGTTACTGATATACACGGACAAGCCCAGAAAACCACATTTTTTGGTTCAGTACTATATATCGTCCCATTGCTGCCAAAAGTCACTAACTTACTTTTTATTACTTACGAGAAAAATGCGTCTAAAAATGAATTGCATTGCATAAAGATGTTATAGTTAGTAACTATTCGGTATTAAAATAAAACATAAATAGCCAGAAATCGTAATTAATGACTTTTGCAATCGATTCTCCACTTCAAAACATAGTTAGTGATTGAATTTGGTTGTTCGGAAAAATGTTAGTTAGTGACTTTTGGCAGCAATAGGACGATATTATATAGTATTTTGCTAACTACTATAAGAATAGATATATATTATCTAGAAAACATCTTCAGCGTGTAATGGGACGGTTTCGCAGCAGTAGTAATATTGGCTTTACCAAATGATTTATAAACCAGAATTACTACGAGAAAAAACTTTACTGTATGTCGAAGAAAATTCCTATATCAGCAGTCTTCAGCAATTAGGTAATCCAGTATTACCCTAATCTGTGGCTATTCGCGCTGACGAAAAATCCCAAGTGTCATCTTTCATAATATAGAAATACACCAAGAAATTC